CTCTCTCTCTCTCTCTCTCTCTCTCTCTCTCTCTCTCTCGCACCAGTGGCCGTCGGCCTGGGGCCACCCAGGAGTGGGATAGAGACAGGAGCCACTCAGTCCGGAAGAAGGCATAGACGGTCGCGTCGCAATTGTCGCGAGTGCACTTTGACAGTCGTCCTGTTCGCGACCGGAAAACCCTTTCGGTCAGCATTGGCCGTAGTTAATTTAACAGGTGAAAGAAAAGGGACATTTTTTTTTTCACGGCATGTTACCAATTTAAGTCTGAGAGAGTTGTAAAACCTATTTACAAGCGACTTGGAATTGATGGGCAATCAAGAATGGGCTGTCGCAAATTTATAACCGATCTTGCGATTAAAAATTTACGACGCTATTTTTCGCAAGCGTTTGAAGACGAGTTGACTATCCTCCGAATTGTCCCTCCGCAGCGGGTCGAGTGAGCCGCTGCAGGCGGTTCAGCTGCGCGTGAGTGTCGGCCAGCACGACCTGCGCGAGGGCGGCGAGGCCGCGACGCTGGCCGTGCAGCGCCTCGTCATGCACCCGGGCTACGAGTGCGCGCACTTCGTCCACGACGTCGCGCTCCTGGAGCTCGGCGAGGACGTCCAGTGGTCCGACAACGCCTGGCCCGCCTGCCTGCCGTCCGCGACGGGCACCAAGGACTACACCACCTTCTCGGACCGGGAGGCGACGGCGGCCGGCTGGGGCTGGACCAACGAGAACTCCAACAAAGGTGCGCGGGAGGCTGAGAGGAGGGTGGGGCGGTAGGCGAGCCCGCTGCGCTCCGGTGTCGGACGGGTGGCCTACGCTGCGCTCGCAGGCGCCTGCCAGGCGGGCGAGCCCGCTGCGCTCCGGTGTCGGGCGCGTGGCCTACGCTGCGCTCGCAGGCGCCCGCCTCGTCTCTGCCCGCCTCGCCGCCGCTCCCTGTCCCGGGCTGTGCACTAAATGCAGGTCGCATTAAACTTGCCCACTTCTTGCCGGCCGGTGCCCGGCCTGCGCCCGGACTGGTGCAACTGCCAGGGCAAGAGAGCCGTGCATATCGAGTTACACAACGGGTGCCGGGCGCCAGCGCCGCTCAGCGCAGCCCGACCAAGCCGAGCCCCTCTCCTGATTAAGACCCCGGGCGACAGGACGGGACGGCTACCGAGCGGGGACGGCGGGGCGGGCGGGAAAAGGAGGCTGAGAGTTATTGAATTAATCTCGTTATGGAGATGTTGATGTTAGTCGGGTTTACGACGACGCCCACCCTACTACCGCCCCCGTTCGGGTGGAACTGCCCCTTTTATTTCGGGGGCGTCAGAGCGTTAGTCCGCAACTCCCTCCAGCTTCTTCATATCCCGGCCCCACGGAATCCCGCGCTCCCGGCCCGGCCCACGTATCCCGACCAACGGGATCCGATGAGGACACTCTTAGGACTCGGCCCGGGCCGACGACGACGTCCCGCGCGCGCGACCGCCGTGGCGCAATCCGTCGTCAAAAGTTATCGGAACGTCTGCCGCGCACGTCACTCCGGTCGACGCGTCGGTGTGTCGATCTTAATCCTTTTTGTCCGTGTCCCTGCAGGGGGGCGCGCCGACGTGCTGCAGAAGGTGCAGCTGCGGGTGCTGGACAACGCGCAGTGCCGGGACTGGTACCGCTCGCAGGGCAAGAAGACCAAGATCCACGACACGCAGATCTGCGCCGGCTTCGAGTCGGGCGGACGCGACGCCTGCTGGGTGAGCCAAGCCTCGAGATGAATATCGAAACGACGTCAAACCGATATCGTTACATATTCAACATCGATTCGATATCGCGGCGATTTTAACACCAAGTCGATTATTGCTTTACTAAATTTGATACCGTGTTATCGATTCGATATCGCACCATATCTATTTGACGTAATGTTACTGACTCATTATCGCGTTATCGATTTGACATCGCGTTGTCGATTCGATATCGCGTTGTCGATTCAATATCACGTTATCGATTCGATATCGCTTTATTCACTCTATGTGGCATCAGCGCGATTCGATATCGCGTCATCGATTTTGATTTTTCGCCGCGAGTAGCTGACGCGATGCGCCAGTTTTCCACCTCGGGCCGTGCCCCCTCCCCGCTGTTGCAGGCCGACAGCGGTGGCCCGCTCATGGTGGCCGACAACGCCGACGGCGGCCGCGTCACCGTCATGGGCGTCGTCTCGACGGGCATCGGCTGCGCCAGGCCCAAGCTACCCGGGCTCTACACGCGAGTCAGCGAGTACCTGCCGTGGATCCGGGACCAGACCAAGAGCCCCTAACGCCACCCCCCTGCTGCGTTGAAACTCCAGGCTGTGATTTATGGAAAAAAGATGATTTCAATTTCGTCCAAATCTAGTCTAATCAATCTAGATGCATCTAGTCTTGATGTGGTAATACCCACCAGCATCGTTTATCAAAGAAACTAAGTCATTTTGTAGTTGTTTATGTTTTACTTTTGAGTACCTGAGACTGAGTTGTTTATATGCGTTCAATAGTTTTTAGGTTTTGCTGTTTTCTAGTCTTATTGTCGTAAGTTGTTGGTAGGATGCAGTTGGATGTTTTGACTGAAATGGGCCACGGATAATTATTAAAACTGTTGATTTGACTCGCATACTTTTTACTTCAATCCAATCTCACAAGATATGACAAAAATAACATGAGTAAAAGAGAAAAAAGGGCAAGAAAACACATAATAGTTAATGCACCTTTCAAAAATAATTAATGCACCAGTTTACAGAACAATCACAATATTTCCATACTTCATCTGAAAAACAGTCCTCTATCTAAAATATAACATCCCTTCATCAAAATAATTTCATGCACCAGGGGAGCATGATAAGACTTCCACAAAATATATTCCAACGACAGTTCAATATATAATTTCATGCTAATCAGTCACTTTTAATCTCCTGCTATCACATGTTGTATGTAAATACACTACACATAGAATATCCGAAGCCAAAAAGAAAAAAATCATTCAACAATCACAGACTACATTTTTTACTAATGGCAAGAAATGCAGATCACGGATTTATATTTTTCAAACCTTAAACACTTTCAACAACTGGTCCGTATAATCTATCACTGAGATAACACAATATGACTCACTGTAATGAAAATTTTAAATTTTAAAAACTACAGTGCCAATTCACAACACAATTGTCAGCAAGACATGTGTTTTGGGTTTTGTTCTTTTTTAAAACCATGTTGAGGAGCTGCTATAACTATGATCAATTTAAAAGCTCACTTTACTGTATATTAAGGTAAGATATAAAAATTAAATATGAAGAAAAATAAGAAAAATGCAAGTTCCTAGAGAAATCACAGTGACAAAGAAAAAAGATAGGAAAATAGTGGAGCTTGTTCTTGTAACAAGATATTTAAGTCTACAAGTGAGAGTGTCAATTTTTCAGACACTGGATTTATAATAGACACTGAAAAGGGCAAATCATAATCATTGAGATTTCACTAGAAATACACTGTTAAGACAATGTACAGTGCACACATGCACATGTACCAACAGACTAAGACACAAAGATTAAAAGTACAATTTCATAAACAAGATAGTACTGTAGTTGCAAGTTGCAAGAAGCAGGAGAAGAAGGGGTTTGAACAAATCCTTCAAATGATCCCTTCATGTGCAATGGTTTGATTATTGAGGTAAAAAGAAACCCTTCAAGAATCGCTCCAATCCAAGCCTTTAGCTTAGCAAAAGATTAAAAACTAACCATGCAGAGAATTATACAGAATAATGGCTGTGCCATCAGAAAAGTAGAAATCATCAACTCTACAATTGCAAAATTCTAGCTTTGGCAAAACATGGAACACATTTCAATACTAGTTACAATAATGTTGGACTATGGAAACTGATTTCAGCTACTGTTGATGTATAGAGATCAACATTCTAAAGATGCAGAAAGATTTTCACAATACAGGGGCAATATGAAAGTTTAGTAAAGAGATCTTGAACAAAACTTAGTAAACCTAATCACACTCAAATTATTTAAGTGCACCACCAAAGGGTGAATTTTACAAAAGTTTTAATTAAATGAAGTGTTTGTAAAGGCAGCCAAATGTAAATGGCACACACAAGGACCAGCAAAAGTTCATCCTGCATCTAAAAGTTGTAAATGGTTTACAGACTATGACATCTTAATTACTAAACACTTAAAATGATAGAATGAAAAAACACTAAACGTCAAAAACATTCAGAGCCGTTTTAAATTAGCTTACAAAATGACAACAATAATAAAACAAAGTCACTTGAATAATGAGGTACGTTACTCTTTGTGGAGCTGCCTTTCAGCTGCATTTGGAACTGGTAACAATGGTGAGCTTTGAAACAAGTTAACACTATTCCAAGCAAACACCTTCAACTTTATTTTTATCAAATTCCTGTGCAATCTAATAAATATTTTGCAGAACTTTGATGAGAATTCCCACATCATAAAATTTCTTTAAACATTATACATCATATCCTCCATAGAATGGCATTAAAAAATGCTAAAGAAAACAAAATCTGCCTGAAAAGACAATGTATTTTCCTTGTTATTACCTAAGTAAAACTCACACATTAGTAAATACACTTGTTTTGTAATATATTTCTGACAGGTAATTGGTGTGAAGTTGCATGGAAACGTGAACACCATAAGTACAGCTGCCATAGTACTAGATCTTATCTAGCACACATAAAGTATAACTACAAAAGTGCACTGGCCTTTTCAGCCATCTGGTATTTCAGGTGAAGTTAAAGCAGTAAGTGTAAAAAAGTTTTGAAACATAGTATGGCACATGGCATGAAAACAAATGAGAACAGTAAATTCTGTACATCAACAATTGATCTCAAGGTTGAACCTTAAGAGTAAAATAATCCAACAATCCAATAAAGATTTTCACCCAATTGAAAAACTTAAATTAAAGAAGACACATAAATAACTAAAAATAAAAATCCTTCAGTTATAAATGTTTTAAGATAAATATGGTAAGCATTATATATTCTTAATGCAGTTGTGACTTGAATGAATGACCACTTTTATTAAAGAAACAGCAGTTTTTCAAATGGGAATCTTTGGTTACAAATGAAAACTAGCTTGACTCATCAGTAAGAAACCGTCTTTGGTACACATTTTTAAAGATTGGATATCTTATTTTAAGTCATGCTTGTAAATGAGCGCCTCTCTACTCTTGATTAAATACCCAGTCAAAAACTGAACAACAACTTCAAGCAATCATTTGAAAGCCACCAACAAACAGTGGCAACAATTCAAAGAAGGAAGTGAACACTAATACTGAACATTCTTCAGAAGTAGCACCACTACAAACAATTATCAATGGCAACATCTGAGGGGAGAAGATACATAGATCAAAAAGATTACTTTTTTGACTAGCCCCCACTTGAGGGGCAGGATTCAAAACTAATCACCTGTATTTCAATAGATCTAGTCGAACTCTTGATAAGCCTCAGCACCAGTGAAAATGACATCAACCCAAATTCTCATTGCCTCTGGACTGGGAGCCATCAGTTGGTAAGATCGTTGCGTAGTCTTCACCACAAACACACAATTGGGGGTAGCGTGCTTGTGGGTGTGGGTATGGTCTACATACACCTCGGCAATGGCCTGGAACATTGAATAGAACATTAAACAGTCTGTTAGCAGAAGCATGAGGAGTTATATATAAATGCAAACAAGAATTCCATCTATGGCAAATTT